GAAAATCATGTAGAGGTTTGGACACCCATATTAAACATTATTCATATAAGTCCCTTAATCTGTAAACCATTTGAATGCCTGTTCCAGAACAAAGGCAGTGTCTTTCATGCTTAGCCCTTTGATCTCATATGTATAATAATTATCAGTTATGGGTCTTATTGTACTATTCCTATTATTTCTTTTGTTCAATTGTTGGATGCATTCCAGTGGGTTTTTAAAATTCTTTGTCCTCTATTTCATATTAATTTTTGGAAATTATTTTTATGTGACAAGCTCAAGTATTATTTTATTGTCATGCTAACTAACTTATTCCATTGCATTGTGTCTCAATAAAGCATTATTGAATAAGTAGCAACAGCCCTCCTTCATTACATCATCCTTATCCTGTATTCACAGGACTTTGATTCAGTTGTTATTCAGTTCTCAGAGGAGTACCCCTTTACATAAGGAACATAAAGAACATAAGAATGGCCATACTGGGTCAGCCCAAAGGTTCATTTAGTCCAGTATCCTGTTTTCGGATAGTGGCCAATGCCAGTTACTTCAGAGGGAATTAACAGAACAGGTAATCATCAAGTGATCACCCCTGTCGCCCATTCCCAGCTTCTGGTAAACAGAGGTTAGGAACACCATCACCGCTAATAGCCATTAGTGGACCTATCCTCCATGAACTTATCTAGTTCTTTTCTGAACCATGTAATAGTCTTGGCCTTTGCAACATCCTCTGGCCACAGGTTGATTGTGCGTTGTGTGAAGAAATACTTCATTTCGTTTATTTTAAACCTACTGCCTATTAATTTCATTGGGTGACACCTAGTTCTTGTGTTATGTGAAGGAGTAAATAACACTTCCTTATTGCCTTTCGCCACACGAGTCATGATTTTATAGACCTCAATAATATCCCCCCCTTAGTCATCTCTTTTCCAAGCTGGAAAGTCCCAATCTTATTAATCTCTCCTCACATGGAAGCTGTTCTATACCCCTAATCATTTTGTTGATCTTTTCTGTGTCTTTTCCAATTCTAATATATCCTTTTTGAGATGTGACCAGATCTGCACACAGTATTCAAGATGTAGTCGTACCATGGGATTTATGTAGAAGCAATATATTTTCTGTCTTATTATCTATCTCATTCCTAATGATTCCCAACATTCTGTTAGCTTTTTGACTGCTGCTGCAGCCCTTTCTGTTCAAGGAATATTATTTCACATTTTCTTACTGTTTAAGATGTAGCATCTTATATGTGCAGCAGACTACTAAAAGTCAAAAGTTACAGTCCAAAGTCTATATTAGAAATCCAAGTGAATGGCAAAATTTCACAGAGCAGAAATACTCTGGAGAAGTATCTTTATAGGCAGATAATGTGCAGACCATACTATCCACGAAATTCATTTAATTCACAGTCAGGCTGCTGGCACTCCCAGCAGCAGAGTCTAAACTCTGCCAACAATCCATTTTGCAGACTGTGCATTTGCAAAAATCGGCATGGTCATCAAGGAAAGAAGAGCACAGAGCTCAGGGGAAAGCAGACAAGGATAAGCTCTAAGAAGTAGAATTTGGAGGAACTGTTTATTTGGAGGAACAGAATTAAAAGGAACTATTTTGTGAAGATACATGCACTTAGATGATATGATGATGGATGTCAATGTAAGAATCTGAATAGACCTTGAAAATAAATGAGTTGATGTAACTGAAATTAAAATCAAAGCTGCTGGCATTCATCTCCTTAACTGAATCTTTTTTTCCATCTGACCCCTGCCTCCTCAGAACGTGACTGGATGCTGGTGCAGGAGCTGGTGAAGAAAGAGAGGGATGCAGTAGGAGGTTGCTGAAGCAATGCAGTCAGTGCTCCATTTCTTTCTCCACAAGCAGGGAGTGTCTGGGCTTCCAGACTCTTGCCATCCACCGTTCAAGCAGAGTTTGACTTTGCATCCTGTTCCTCTCAAAGCAGACAGGAAAGGTGGTGAGGAGGAGCATCAGGTTTGGATCGGCAGAGACCGTGCATTTGTGGTGACAGAAGAAGAAATCAAGAATCACTTACTTGGTTTTTGTCCGGCTTTGAAGAAAGGTGTAGAATACAGTGGTAGTACTCCACTTATTTCAGCAACCTTCTGCTGTCCTGGTATTGACCCTGTAGAGTTCTAACCCTCTTCCAGGTTTCTGCATTGTCTACTGTCACCACTGTTCTCCATGCAGCCCTGTCCTCATGTAGGGTAACTAACACTTTCCATGCATAGCTCCAGTTGCCTTTGCAGCATATTCGCACAGAGTCATGCTACAAATAGAGACTAGATAATGTGAGGAAAACTCTGCATTCTTGGCAGTATGCAGAATTCGGCTTTCTTTTTCTGTACAGGGTTCACAGCAATGAGAAATTGAGTGCAGTATTTTTTCTCCCAGTTGAACGTTCTCAGAAGAGAGTAATCTTAAACTATATTTTGTAATTGTTTCATGTTAAGCCATAGCCCCCTCACCCACCACATTCACAGCTCACTGACCTTATAACACGTTGATTTTCTGCTTGGTTCTCCACAGTGCCTGTTAGTTGCTTCCATGGTCCTATAGATGTCATGTTGAAACAGACCAATACGATCTTATTTGACACCCTGCAGGGGAAAGGAAAGTCCCTTTTTCTCCAAAATTTAGTATTAATGATTTTGGTGCATTCAAGGTTACTCACAGCTGGGTACAACACTAATGTAACTTTATCTAATAGGGGCTATAGTGTTTAGGTAACATGGTAATTAAGCTGATTCCAGTTCATACCACGTGTTCCATTTCAGTTTCCTGTTGCCTCCTCAGTCTGCATGCCCACTTGCCAACCCTAAAATATATTGTGTATTTGTTTTTCTGTTTGGTACAAGAAGAATATCAAGAGTCCTAATGTGACTGAAAAGCCCTCTTGAAGCTCATTATCCCTGTTTGAGCCTAGGTTGTAACACGGCCAGCTAACATGCCTCAACAATGTTAGTCTACTTTAATTCTGACTGACAGGATTCAAAACTACATCTTTTTGGCTTATCAAGATGTGAGCTAAGAAACAAACAAACATAACATTTCCTTTTTACACCTTTTCTTCATCTTGTTATAACATCACCTTAAAATTTCCTAGATTGCTATCTGCTTATCTTGATTCAAGGTTGTTATAAGTTAATCATTTGACTGACACCCCATTGTCACTTCTTAATGAATCCATACCAAATTCTACGTGTTTAAAACCCACCTGAACAAATCTTTGGTAATCATGATTTTCAAACTGAACTTTGGAAATGTGTTCAATCTGCATAAACTAAAAAACCCGCTGTTGACCAAACAGGCAGGGAATCCAGTATTGCCTGAAAGTGAGCTGGGTATGACCAAGAGTTTCATGATCCCTGCACTTTAACTGTTTTCTCCTGAGTTTGAATGAATTTCATCCCTACTCACCCTTCTGAGATGATGTTGAGTTTTGCTGTTTATAAAGGGACCAGCAGCTAACTGTTTATGACTCTAGAAATTCTGAAATGAAAGATAATGTGAACCAGATACTACATTTCCTTTCATAAACTCTACCTAATATGGCTATCTGAAACACTAAGTATGTATTGGGTAATTGGTTTTCTTGCATCCCATGTTTTTAATTGCTTGAATATATAATCAGCTCAAGGTACATTTCTTGTACCTTGCTGAATTTTAACATAAAGGTTTATTTCCAGATGGATCAGCATTGGAACAGCTTTTCAGCTGTCTTATAATTTAAATTAACACACTGGTACCAAAACTTTTCTACACATGAAATTAAGCTCAGAATACATTATATAATCATGGGGTTATTTTATACGTGTATATCAAAGTGACTCTTTAAAAATGCCGAACTCCCAGGAGATCCCTAAGATTATGCCACTAGGTCAACATCAGTTCAACAACTTTTGTAATGGAGATAAACGTTAAAATATATCATTTCAGAAAAAAAAATTAAACTTTAATTAACAAGAATTTTTAAATCACCTTTCTCATTTATACCTGGCTTGAAAAACTGAGCAGATGGATCTGCTTCCTTTGCTGACAAAAGGTTGTGGAGCAGAGGCGTCAACACTAATATTACTTTAAGGGCATTAAATTTCTCAGTTGAAGAAAGTGTCCCCAGCTGAACCATGAAAGAGAGTGCTCACAGTCCACGTGTACTTCTACATGGGCATTTAGTAAACTTTACTGCCGGTTTAAATCTGCAGTGGTTTTGACATACATTTATAATATCTATTTATGATGGAGATGAAAACAAATTCATATACTGGACATTAATTGGATGGTCACCTATCATTGACTTGCTTTCTAACCTTAAGCAAGTCATTTAAATTTTTTATGCCAGTTTCCCTGCTTGTAAAACTGGGCTAATAATACTTCTTGTCTCCATAAAGATGTTGTGAGGATTAATTAGGTGAAGTCTGTAGAGCACTTGGAGCTTTATAGATTAAATGTATGGTTTGCTGTGTGAACTTGAACAAGTCACTTCACCTCTCTGTGCCTCAAGTTCTTATCTGTAAAGCGGTTATAATTATTTTTACCCACCTTTGTGAAGCATTTTGAGGTCTATGGACAAGAAGAACTCTGCAAGTGTTAAATCTTAATATCCATTTATTTTTATGATTGAAAACTTCTTTTTTACTCCAATAACTTCACTGTAAGTAGAATATCACTTTTGTCTGAATTGGAATTTACACTTTTATATGCTTTTAAAATAATTTAATGGTCTTTATTTTTAATTTCAGTCAGACTTTCACTGCAACCAAAATCACAAATCAATGGGTTCCACAGTATACACAATTAAAACTGATTCCAATTGGTTTTAATTCAGGAATTAGTAGGGGTTAAGTATGAATACCAACCAGACCATACAGACTTACTTTAGCAGGTCCTAGTAAGGAAGGCTGCTGAGCCGGTGAATCTCTGATTGATTTTCATCATTTCCATATAATTGTAAATGTAATATCCATGATATTATTGCATGTACTGTATTTCAGGAAAAGCAGAGATTTCTGACAGATGTCCTACATGAAGTAATGCTGCTCGACGGCTTGGCCAGTTCACATCCAGTTTCACAGGAGGTGCAGCGAGCCACAGACATTGACAGGGTGTTCGACTGGATCGCCTATAAAAAGGTGGGAATAGTGGATATTTCAGAAGTAGTGTCAGGAGAACATGTTACATTTGTAAAGCTTATGCACTCTTGGAAAAGGGCACACACCCCAGAAATTACTCGATAGGAAACCAAAAATAGTGTGGGATAGTTTTGGGATTACAGGTTCAACACTTTCATAGTTAGCAAATTATATAAATAAACCTGTGAGACTTTCAGAGTTCTGCAATATAAAACTATTATTATATATATTCCTTAGATTGTTGCAGAGTCCAAATTGTGCTAGGCATTTTAAAAGTGCAGAGAGAGGCTCAGTGTCTGCCCTAATGGGAATCTAGAGAAAACTCTTAAGGTGTCTCCAATTCCCATTGAAATAAAGTGGGATGGTTTCATTATTTTACTTACAGGAAAACTGCATTTTTTGAGTTAAAAAATCTCAGTGTGAAAGGTTGCCGTTGAGAAGAAGGAAACTGGCTTGTATGGAATGATGAGAAAATATGTCTTGAAATCAGGGACTGTCTTTAGGTTTGGGAAGGAGATAGAGGATTCTGTATGCCAGAAATGGCATTCAGTTGGCACTTTGAGCATTGGAAAGAGAATTGGCACAGTAACCCAGATCATCTGCCTTGGGAGCTTCTGTAAACAGGCTTTACTCAGGGATGCTTTTTAGTGCTTTTACTCAGGGATGCTTTACTCAGGGATGCTTTTTTTTTTAGTATGATTTTTACTGCCTCTTAAAAAATCATTTAATGCAACACAAAGAAAATGTAACTGGGAAAATTTGCCCTCAGTTACATAGACACGGTTTCTGTTGACTTCAGTGGGGGGTTGCCTCCAAGAGCTAAGGACTGATTTTTTCTCTGAATATCTTTATTATAACAGTAAACAATTTATACGTCACTGATTCTCCTATAGCTCTTTAAAAAACTTTGACAAAGTTCAAATCCTGTTTCCGTATCTTGATAACAAATGATGTTTTTTTCCCAGTGATATTAGATGAGGTACATAAAACAAAAACAGTTTTAATTAAAAAAAATCAGATAAGCTCTTTAGTTTAGGTATGAATTACTGAAGATATATAACAAATCCATTTATCTTACATCTCTAATCCATTTCCAATCCCACATCAAATGAAGGTAGAGACTTACAACCATGAAATAATAAAGTACCAAGTGGAAATAACACTTCCAAGGATTTTTAAATAAAATAAAAAAGTCTTTTTCAGCCAGTCTCCAAATTCTATATATTAAGTAGCCATATAGAGGAAGTATATTTTTGTAGTGTACCATCAGATCAATTAGTACAGAAACTATATTGTTTTGAATAAATCACATTGTTATCAGTTCATGTAATTCATTTACATGTTACAATTTAATAGGTGCTTGATAGAACATTTTCATGGAAAATATGATCTTAGATGAATTGTAAAGAATGTGGGTTTTGCAGCCAGTTCATATTGTGGTCAAATGCTTATTCTTCTTTTGAGCAATAGGAGAGGAACCTTCTACTGGAGATTCAACCAAGGAAGTCATCTCACTGATGCTCTCATTTTCTATAGCCCCCTTTCCCTCTGCATCACTAGATGCATGACATCAGACTCTGACTGCACAGCACCAGTATGGTCCTATGCCTCCTGCTGAGCAGCCAAAGTACCCTGTATTCCAGGGTGTTTTCATATCATCTTGCACTCATACTGTGCTAAGCAAGGGGGAAACACACTTTTTCAGCCATTAGCTACTACCACTCAGCAGAAAGTTCTGGCCTCATTTTGATCCTCTGCCTTCAACAACCTTATAGGGTAGAGGATCTTGAGTGTGTAGGACCTAATGGATGAAAAAGAGATATCTATAATAGGACCTAATACACAAAAATCAAATAATCAGGGTAATATTTTCAAAAGTGCTGAAGTGATTCAGAAGCCTAAGTATCCTTTTCAAAGGTGACTTAGGTTCCTGTGTTGCTTTTGAAAATTACCATTGATGAATTAGACCAGAAGAGCTAGCACCTTGCAGCGTGCTGAAGTTTTCGTTTCATTTAAATGATCTTCCCACCTTGTGTTTTCTAATGATGTCTCAACCTCAAAAGGTTCTAAGGGTCATCTCAGATCTGCATCCAAAATATCTGATACTGGTTATTTTTGTCCAGGATAATAGTTAAGTTAATATAATACTTAGCACTTATATTTTCATCGTAAAAGCACTTTACAAACATTAAGTAATTTTCATTTGCATTGAAATGACACATGGGACACTGAGACACATCAGTAAATTATTAGTTATTTTGTGCAGATCCAGCATCAAAGTATCATAGTGCTTTTTTAGGGGATTAGAACATATTCCATATATTGTATAGAGATTATCACATTCTAAAGGTTCCTTTTTTAACTGTAACAGTTGCAAAGGCCAGTGGATCTGCCACCCTCTCAGCTGAGTTCCTCGGGTGGTTTTCCAGATGTCCCAGAATCCTAGTTATCCCCAAGTGTTTCATACAGGGCTTGCTCCTGCAAGCTGCTGAGCACTCTGACCCAATCCAGCAAAGCACTTTAAGCATGTGAGTAGTGACATCAGGTGGATTACACTTAAAACGAAACATGAGTTTAACTGCTTCTTTGGATTGGTCTCAGAGAAGCCCTGTTTTGGGTGCAGAAGACTAAAAAACAAAACCAAAGTATACATATCCCTATATTTCAGATATAATCAACCCCTAATTAATGCAAGCTAGGAAGAAATAGAATCATAGAATCATAGAATATCAAGGTTGGAAGGGACCTCAGGAGGCCATCTAGTCCAACCCCCTGCTCAAAGCAGGACCAATCACCAATTTTTGCCCCAGATCCCTAAATGGCCCCCTCAAGGATTGAACTCACAACCCTGGGTTTAGCAGGCCAATGCTCAAACCCTTGAGCTATCCCTCCCCCCCCTAATGTCCCCTCCAGAAAAATTATTCCATAACTGCCCACTTCGGGGTTTCTTGCACTTTCCTCATAAGCATCTCTTTACTATTGGAGGCAGCATAATAAACTGGATGTGGCAATTTTTATGTCCCTGTGTTTCTTATTCATTCCCATATATCTTTGTAGCATTCTGTGCAAATACTGTTCACCAGTTTAACTAGCGAGGACACAGAATAACATGCCTCTTAGAAGAAAAGGCAGCATTTTCATTTCCATCTATCTCTCTACTGTCTGTCAATATAAATATTATGATAAATTATATGTCAAAAGGATTCTTAGATTGTAAATCTGGAGGAAAATGTACCCTACTCACTATCTCTCTCATTGCTGCTGCTCATCTTTTATTTTTGCCCATTGTGCCTTGTCCATGGCTTTTAGAAGGTACTTTGAGATAATACAATCAAATGCCTTCTGGTCCTGCTTGCAAAATGAGGCATTGGATAATTCTGATGCATACCAGGAAGCGATACTGTGACTGTTATTTCCTTTGTGGCTATTTTGCCACTTGCCATTTTTGAATTTAATGCCTCATCCCAAAGTTCTTTGGGATTCTTTCCATTGACTTCAGTGGGATTTGGATTGGGCCCTCAAAGAGAAAAAAATAGGACTTTACTGACATTTTAAGAAAAAAACCTCTCTCCTTTTCACTGGCTCATTGCTACACAAAAGTATCTTTTCTGTGTGGTGGGGATTTTTTAAAGCAATTTCTTGGGTTTTTAAAATTTCCACTTTGTGTTCCCTGCGGCCTCTGGTTAGCCTGGTGGATTTCCCCCTTTCTTCTCTTCACAATCTTTTTCTCAGAAACAAAATGACAAAACTTGCTCATAACTAATTTTTCTTTAACAAAAAGACAACCAGTAAATGCCTTTGTCTTTATTATTACTATTGTATAGATGAGTTAGATACAATTAAAACCGTCCAGCTCTCTCAAACACTGTCTTGACAAAGAGCTAACATCTGCAACTTTAAGGGCTGCCCTTCCTTCTCTCTTTTCTTTATGCATCTTAGAGCTAAACATTAAAATTATGCTGTTTAAATGCCTTGGAGCTGAATATATTCTTCATTTCCACTTTTTTGTCCTCTATTGGTTGCACATGCGAAGAACATTAAGCTCTGAAGACATTTATTTACTTAAGCCCAGAAGCAGAGTGAAACAAATACTGCAGTGCTATGAAATACAGTGTTTCCACTTGAAGTGTTGATGATGATGTTTGAATATTTCAAAAGCATTGTGCTAGTGATTCTTAAAATGTGTGTGTCCCCTCCCACTAGAGCCATAAGTACCTATGTAGAGGAACAAAAAGTCATAATGGCTTATTCATAAGTAATATTAACAGAAAAATCCATTCAGCCTTCTTGTAAAGCTCTTGTGTCACAACAGAGAATGGCTCTCTCTCCCTCATGCTGCTGGAAAAAAGGTATCCTCCCCAAAATCTCAGAACTTGTGATTACAGAACACCATAGGAAATATACTTTGCTGAACACTAGAGAGGATTTGAGGGATTTTTACATGAAAGCAGAAAGAGTGGTGGCATTTCTGCACCAGAAATACCTTTCAGCAGGAAATGTAGCCCCGGAGAGCTGCAGCAACAGAGAGAGAGAGAGAGAGCACAGTGAGAATAGCATGAGGGACAACTAGCCATAATAAAAGGGTAAAACAAGACAGCTGTAGCACAGAGGGAGCAGCCAGAACCAGGACAGTCTGAGACAGATGCATCCAAAACAGAGTTGCCAGAACTAAGGGTGGCTCTAGCCAGTAACAGTACAAGAAGGGCAGATGCAGTGGACACAAGAAGGTATTGAAGGACACTAAGGACAGGGCAAATAGCCTAGGCACTGGTAAAGAATTCTGAAGTCGTAGACAACAGCCCAGCAAGAAAATCTAAAAGTAAGTATATCCCAAGAAGAGTAATGATTCTGACAGCAGACAGAGCAGTGGAGATAGAGACTGGATACAACATAGAGTGTCATTATATATATATATTATAAAAGCTATTTAGGTCCGAGACAATCTAGATGCAGCTAAAACAAGAAGGAGGATATCCAAGAAAGGGTATAATAATCCAGTG